TTTAACTTTACTGTGTATATTTGAGACTATAGCATGAGAAGAAAATAATTTGTTTTCCTTTTTAAGATTGCATCCGTCCCCAAGTTCAGCTTCAGAAAAGTCACTTGTGCCACCTCACGATCCCGAACGATCACTCACAGAATACATCCATCGCTTGGAGGTTATCCAGCAAAGACTGGGGGGGATGCAGCCAGGTAAGAACCACCTTCTTGCCCCCACAGCTCCCAGAAGTCTGGGTTGATTTTTGCAAGGTTCTGTTGATGGAGAGGTACAGAGACAAGGCAGATGATCAATGTGATCAAAGCAATGTCCAATTTATCATTTAAATCAGTTAACTTTTATACAGTTTAGTTTGTTCAGGGTACACGCTCACAACAAGGTGATTGGATAGCTCAGTCTGTGCACGCGTCTCGTGTCTCCAGTTCGTTGGACCTGATGTTCTGTCTATGTGACTTGAAATCATTCTTGGCATGCAAAGCCCTTCCTAATTAATCTGCCTTTAGGGGCTTTCCGAAATCTGCAGGTGTACCTTTATCTCTAGTTTCTCAAGGCTTTCTTACTATAAACGTACTGTATTCTCAAACCATATAACTAGACACACAGCTAACAAGTATAAACACCGCATATTTTCACACAGTCTGTAAGTATAAACATTACAGCTTACAGCTTCTGAAGCAATGTCAAGCAAGGCCTACAGAATGCAGAGAAATTGTTCAGAGAAATCTCTTTACTCCGGCCACAAGGTTCTTTGTACATATTGCCCATAAAGAACATCATTTTAGTGAATAATTATAATTATTGGTAGGGGATGACTAAGTAAGTTTCTGAAACTTTCGTGAATCATATCTAAAACTAGTCCATTTCTCAAAATAAGTTCATAGTGAAATTTTTCAGAGATAAGGCTGAATAATTTAATGTGGTTTCTGTCCCCACTCCTGTTTCCAAGTCTAAATAAACGAGTGTTGCAGTTTAAATGAAGCTTTGTATAGGGTTAATTTGCTTTAGAGTCAAAGACAGCTGTTGTAATAGCTGAGCAGGGCTTTCTCTGCAGCACAAACTTCCCTTCCTGTCCTTCCCTCATTTATCACTTCCTTATGTTCCATAATAGATTAAAAAAAAAAAAGATCTGGAGGCTGGTAAATCCAGCCATCTAGTTCTAAGCTTGATCAAAGAGCACACAAAGGATTGTAGTGGACCTTAGCTTTGCTATTTAAAACACTTCCACCTATTTTCTGGACTGCAGTCAAAAGCTGACCAGGTCGATATTTAGCTGTGGCACTGAGGGGATGTAGAGTGTGTTTGGATTCCTTTCCACACTGCACATACACACCTTACATTTTTCTTTGCCTAAGCATAACCATCATCACCTGCTGTTTCCCAGGTGGGCTTGCCTCCTGTAATTGTCCTTCAGCCTTTGCCCAAATATATCACTAAAGTCAGCAGCTGCAGTGACAATCCACATAGAAGGGTTTGGGTTGGAATAGATCTTAAAAATCATCCCATTCCACCCCCCTGCCATGGGCAGGGATACCTTCCACTAGACCAGGTTGCTCTAAGCCCTGTCCATCCTGACCTTGAACACTTCCAGGCATGGCGAGTCCACAGCCTCTCTGGGCAACCTGTTCCATGAGAATAGTTTGGGAACTTCGACATTATTCTCAGCGGGGCTTTACCCAGAAACTCTATTACTATGACTTTGTGGGAGTTGGGTTCTTTTCCACAAACACTGCAGCTGTATGGCAGATACAGATAGATAAATAAATTTTAAACTTGAAACCTGATAGCCTTTACTGAAGGAAGGTATTTTGCTTCCAAGTGCGGAATAAGTATTCCATAACTGAGACACCATGAATAGAAATTCTGTGGAAAGTGCATATAATTTCTGTCATCTCCATGTTACCAGGACAATGATGTCAGGCATTACAGAGTGACATTGCAACCTTTAGAACAGTTCTGTGAGCCAAATGACTTCCTAGTTTCTAATGAACTTTAGGACATCTACTCAGTGACAAGATCTTGCCCAGCAACAGAATCACCACAGGAGTGCCAAAGTCGAGCTGTCACTGTGGGTAAAGCAGGTCTGTGATGGAGCACTGGGCCCAGTGTGTAAAGGTTTGCTTTGGCAGGCGTGTAAACTTTCAGATCCTCTTTTGGATTGCTCCTAAGTGGCTCGTGAAAATGGGAATTGCTTTCAGTGTAGCTCGTGTGAAGCACGTTGAGAAAATTACATGCTGCTAACTGCACCCTGTCGCTTCATAACATAAGCAGTTTTCTAATATTCATTTGTTTTTTTTTTTTAAATTTAGGACAAGTGCCAGGCTCTCCTCGTCAGAGAAGCATGAAGAAGTGATGGGAACGCTTATGAAATCTGTCCTGGGAGTTACTGCTTCCTTCTGAGCTGGTCCTTACTGAACAGAGGCACTTGCAATCAATCTCCTGTGCAACTGAATAAAGGGCAGTGCTTTTACAGCAGATTTTTATATGACTCTTTTTATTATATTTTAGTACTTAAGAGGGACTTTTCTCTGAGAATGATGTTTTACATTCTCATGTAAAATTACTCTAAGTTAACAGCTGAAGTGTGACTGCATCACTGTATTGTAAGCTGCAAAAAGTCTCTGTGGTGTTTATTTTTCTAGAGTGTATAGATGGATTCCTTGTAAAAAAAGTTATTAAAATGGCATTTCATTAGTGAATTCTTACATTGTATGGTTATTTGTTTTCACCTTACCTGTTTACTCATCTTGCTGTTCCTGAAATTGTTCGGGCTTTAATATTTCTGTAGGATCATTCTGACTAAAGGAACAGCTCAAATACTGTCACGAATATCAAAGATACCTGTAGCCATCTGTGAATTTAGGGTTTGCTCCTCTGGTCTGACAGTAAGTAAGTTCTCCCTCCCTCAGTCTGTCCTATTTACTCTGGACACTTTTAGCTTCCTTTCTCTAGTTCAAAAGGCTCATAACTTCTATTTAACTCTCTGCATTTTTGGCCAAACCTACCAAACAAAACCTCTGAACTGTATCTACCTCTAGTGTAAGTGAAACTCCTGGTTGCAAATCCTATCCTCTGTCCAGTATCTTGTGTGCAGGTACCTTCACGGGGGCAGTTCCAAATGTATATGAAGTTGCTGGTCAGAGGAGAGGAAAGAGGCATTCTGGTGGTAAATCCATTTCCAATCACAATGTCTCAGTGCAAAAATGAGAGAGATTCCAAATATCATGCTGAATAAGACTTCTTTCTGTGATACTTCTGTATTTCTTTAGAAAAAGTATAGGCAGAATTATAATACCAGAAGTATTTTAAACCCCTGGAAACATGATCTACCTTTGAAGCAGATGTGGTATTTAACTTTGGAGCATCAGAAAAATCTCTTCTGGAGGCAGATTATTCTGCTGCAGCCTGTTACAAGATTTTTGTCTACAGGGAATTGACAGTTATATATTGGTGTTTGTCTCAGATTGTTTTATTGCTTATTTAACTTCTTTTATCCCATATTGGTCCTAGTAAGCCCTTATGTATCTGTCAGGTAGATCACCATTTAGTTCTCTGGAAAAAAAAGGTGGTAGAGATAGAAGATTGAAGATAGAGGAGCCTGGCCTCCAAGAAGTGGGGTGGGACATGAGCCTGATTGAGGGGCAGGGTAGGGCGGAGGAGCAGTTTGTGGCCTGTGAGCAGTGCCAAGAGTGTCTGTGCCATGTGGAGGAAATGCTGTGGAGCTCCAGGATCAGCCCTAAGTGAAGGAAGAGTCTGGATTACATGGGGCCCAGCTTGATGGACTGCTGTACCTGAACCGTGCTGGACACAACAGAGATGCCGTCCTGGCTCTTCAGCAAACTGGTGATTTACTGCCTGTGGATGTTGGTAAGACCTTTCCCAGTGCCTCCTCATCCTTTTGCTCTAGAGTTCTAAACCAGTTTGAACTGACAGTTTATGCTGGCTCAGTGCATCATAATTCTTTTAAAAATCAGATTCTAGGAGTCTTAAGACTCAATGCAGCATTGCCAAACTGCACACTGAATGGTGCGGGTGCCCTTTTTGCTTAGCACAGCATGAGTTTATCCTCTGTTGGGAACAATGTGCATTTCTAGAGCAGAGTTCAGAACTGGCACTAAATCAAATCTGTAATTGCATACTCACACCTGAATGTTCAATGTTGACTGTAAGCAAGGCTGTGATACCAGAGGGCCTTTGCTCAGAGTGAGCCACTCAGTACTGACACTGCAAATCCAAATTAATGACTAGTTTTAAAAACTGACACTTTTAGTTGGACATGAAAAATTACCTTTTAAAGGGTGGTTGGCACATCATAGGGATAGTTCTGCTTCAAGGGAATTTGGCTTTGCATTGGCACATTTTTTAATCAATCTACAGGGGGTTTTTTATGTCCCAAGACATGCAGGGCTCTTCCCAAGCCCTGGCAGGGCAGTCTTTCAGGATCTGAGCTATAGGTGTTACCTGTGGCTACATTACCATCAGCTCCCTGATACTGCAGATGGCTTTCTGAAGGACAGTGGAAGCAGAAACATTTCTGCCTGGTATCGGGGGTGAAGTTTTAAGCAGTGTGGTTTTCCCAGTTCTGGTGTGATGTGCCTGTGCCCTTGGAAGGGCAGTCGCACAGGGCACACTCTCCCATGTTGACCTCAGTAACATAAGCAGAGAAATTGGAAACCCCATATGTGATACCAACGTGAACCCAATCACCCCAAGTGGGGTAGCTGTTTTGCACAGAAAGCAGTTGTTAGCAGAAAACTTCTCCCCAGATTTCTTGCCTGTTTTCTGGTTCCAGGAAAGTTATTCTTACTGTCAGAGCAGTCCTGGTAGGACCACAAGCAAGGTCCTGGATTTGCCTTTGCCCGAGTAATTGGGAGGCTGCAGGAATGCCAGAAGTTCAGCATGCCCGTAGTGTCTTGCCACACCCACTCACACCGGGACTTGTGGTTGCATGGGGAACCAAACCAAGTGTTTCCTCCTGGTCTCTAGCGCCCTTTGAGAGGTGGTTGGCTTTAGGAAAGACTTCTTTATTTATTATTAATTAATTAATTACAGTCCCAGGCACCACTTTACATCTCGGCTGTCATACTGGAATTCTGTGGCATGAATATCTCCATATCCTATCCTGGGACACGCCGTGGGTTGGGTTGGGGGGGGGGAGGCGGAGAGGAGGAGCCCGGACTTCACGCTCGGTCACAGTTCCTATTTTCTGTTTGGAGGAAAGAAGTGGGGAGGTAAAGGGCAGTTTCGGTACTTTCAGAAAGTGATCTCAGCAGAGCAGGGACGAAGGAAAGGGAAAAGGAAAGAGGAAGGGAAACAGGAAAGGAAGGGGAAGAGGAAGGGAAAGGAAGGGAAAAGGGGGAAGGGTGGGAACAAGTAAGGAAAGGGGGAAGGAGAGGAAAGAAAAAGGGAAGGGCGAAGGAGAAAGGCAGCAGCTGGATGAGGCAGCGGGCGGGCCCTACTACGGCCAGGCCCCGGCCCGCCCCAGGCGCGGGCGGTGTGTCCCCGGCTGCGGCGGCGGCTGCGCAGGGCGGGGGGGCCGGCGGCCCCTCCCTCTTTTCTTCCCTCCCGCCCTTCTTCCCTCCCCTCCGGCCCGGCCCGGGACCGCCGCCGCCCGCCCCCGGCCCGCCCCCGGCCCCACCTGCGGCAGCGCTGGGCGGCGGCTCCGGCGGGGTCCGCTCGCTGCTCGCCCGCCCGCGCCATGGCGGCGGAGCGCGGGGGCTGCGCGCTGGAGGCTGTGCCGCTGCCACCTGAGGTGCGCGAGAGCCTGGCGGAGCTGGAGCTGGAGCTGTCTGAAGGTGAGCGGGGCCGCGTCTCGGCCGCTCTGCGGGGCCCGGCCCGGCCCGGCCGGCGGGGAGGCCGCGGGCGGCTCCGGCCGCCCGCCCTGGGTGGTGCGGGCGCGGTGCTGCTCAGGGGGACCTGGGGCCGGCGGCGGCTTCGCCCCTCGGCGGAGCCCGCCGGAGCCCTCGGCCGGGGGCTGCGCCGCCCCCCGCGGGCCCTGCGCTGGGAGCGGCGGCGGAGCCTCCCTCGGGAGCGCTTCCAGACGGCCGGTTAGCGCGCGGCTGGATGCGCTGGAAAGACAGTTGGTTTTTAGATTTTTTTAGTTTTAATGTCTGTTCCTAACTGTAGCTGAAACCTTAAACCTCTCGCTTTGGATCTCTCATTAATTCCCAACGTTTTTGTGCTTCCCTGTGTATACGGGCAGGAATATGGTGATGTTCCCTCCATTTCTGTAGAGCCACAGAATTACAGAATGGTTTGGGTTGGAACCTTAAAGCTCATCTTTTTCCACCCTCCTGCCATGGGCAGGGGCGCCTTCCACTATCCCAGGCTGCTCCAAGCCCCGTCCAACCTGACCTTGGACACTTCCAGGGATGGGGCAGCCACAGCTTTTCTGGGCAACCTGTGCCAGGGCCTCCCCACCCTCACAGGGAAAAATTTCTTCCCAATATCCAATCCATCTCTCTCCTCTGTCAGTGGGAAGCCTTTCCTCCTCCTCCTGTCACTGCAGGCCCTTGTCCAAAGTCCTCCTCCAGCTCTCTTGGAGCCCCTTTAGACAGTGGAAGGGTCTTTAAGGTTTCCCTGGAGCCTTCCTGCTCCAGGCTGAACACCTCCAGCTCTCCCAGCCTGGCTCCAGAGCAGAGGGGCTCCAGCCCTGTGCATTAATGAGCCCTTGGTCAGAGGTGGCAAGACGCAGTGCCGTGCAAAGGGTCACAGTGACCATTCTGTGGGTTTTCAGCCCCCAAAAGGAAACATTCCTTCCCTTTCACCTCCAGGCTGGTGTTTAGTGGTAACAGCCCTTCTGTGATTGTAGTGGGAGTTGGACATGATATCTTGGTGAAGGGCTGGGGAGGATTTTTTTTTGCTTATTAGTCCCCTGGCTTGGCCTGTCCTGCAGACAGGCAGGTGTAGGCACTTGGTGCAGGAGAGCATGGCAGGGCAGAGGTGACCGAGGCAGCATTTTCTGGGAGCAGATACTGAATTTTCCTCAGTTACATTGTCAAGCTGCACATTGGAATAGAAGAGCTAAAAACCTGTTAATGCCGTCCACGGTCCTGGGGGTGGGAGCATTCAGTCCTCTCCTCAGGTGTTGCAGTATTCAAATCGGCATGTTCAGGTGGGCAAAACCGGAGTTATTTCACCTAAATACACTGACTGAGGTCATGGTTTAGGAAATGATTCACAGGTCCGCTGTCCTCGCCTCCAGTGTGGAACCTCTGGTGCAGCAGCAGGGGAAAGGTGTAGGATGGCTAACTTTGTTGTCCAAGTGTAACCTGTCACTGCATGCCTGCCGGTGAGGTCAGAAGCAGTACCTGGCATGCCCTGGTGCTTGTGCAAGAGGAGTTCCCCTGAGCTGTGCTCTGCTGTGTGTGCAGCTGGGACCATGTGCTCTCACGGCGTGGCCACACTGGGCACAGTGGCTCTTCCTGTGTGCCTTCCTGTATGCCTGCGTGCAGGTCAGCTGGGGTTCCTGGGGCTGGCTCCTGGGCTGTGCAGTTCCTGACTGTGTGTTTGTTTAACTGATGGAGCATTTTTTTAACAGATAGGTCTGCAGCATGTTAAACCTGTGAAACACCTGGAGTGATTGCAAAGTGTCCTAGTGCAGGGGGTCTGATACGGAAAGTGTGTTGCTGTGTAACTGCTGGATTAATTGATTGGATAAAGTGGTTATGAGAGCTCAAATTTCTTGACCACTACGAAGACCTAATTTATGAGCTTAGATGTGAGTCCTTTTCTGCTTTTCCTCAAAGAGGAAAAGCAGAAAGTATTTGCAAGTAGTTCTTCGCCACCCGGTGATATGTTACATGCTCGCTTGAGGTTTGTGTGTGAAGCTTTTAGTGGACCCCTCTGTCATTAATGCTCAGAACTTGCTCATTTGGAGAGGAAGGAATAGCAATTTAAGATTATGCTGCATATGCCACAAGTTAGAGAAGGTCAGTACTTGGAAGGATGTTCCCATCATCTGAGAGGAAGTATGAAGGGAGAAAGTTCCTTTCTAATTTGTGTACGTACTTTGTTAATTGAAGTGTTATATGTACTGTGCTGAGGCAGGAGTAATGTCTGTTCTCTTTGCTTACATTATTTTCACCTATAAATAAATCAGGAAGATGATTTTACCCCAAGTTGTTGTAGCAAAAGTTGGGAAAAGCATTTGTGTTTAGATGTAGAGAAGAATGGAGACACAAGTACATTGGTACTTTCTAAAGGCAACTCAAAATCCTAAATAAAGCATTTGACTGAGAAGAGTTTTGGATGGGGATGGAATGCCAGGTCATGCTGCAATTCCAATCACGTGCACTTTGTTGGATCCCTCGCATTTCCAAGATCCTAATCTCTTGATTGGCATTGTTTGTATTCTTCATGTATCGGAAAAATAATAGTTGGGGATAAAAAAGTTACCCTAGAATGATGCTGCTGTGAGGCCTTGTTACATCAGCACTGTATTTTCTTTCTTGTTGAACAAAAGTAGTGAATTTTGTTAAGAAAACTAAGAGATGTGCCACAACCTTTTGGGGAGGTAAGGACAATTTTGAGACCTTGCCTGGCACCTAAGCTGAGCTGCAGCTGATGGATCTGTAGACTAAGCTTGCTTACCTTAAGACTGTAAGATGCTGCAGCTTTCTGATGCAATGGAAAGATGCAGAGTTCCCTAATGAGCCTGGCAGGATCTGTGTCAAAGCATGACGGGGGTGCTGTGCAGCTCCAGTACTTCATGTTTTTTTATAAGTCACTGTAAAACACTGGTAGAGTTTTTTATTGGTGGTGGTTTTTTGTGTTCTGAAAGAGAGCTAAGATTATAAATGGTTCTTTAAAAAAAAATAATTCCAGTTGGCAGTGGAGATTTCACAGGGAAAGCATCAATGTGCTTTTTAAAGCCCTACCTGTTCTATGATAGCGCATCATACATTTCTGTGTATTTTTATGTATCTAAGTGTACTCGTGCACTGCTTTTTATTAAGGTATGATAATTTTAAAGAGCAGGTCTCATTTAGACGCAGATGTAGCTTGTATAATTTGTACTTTTATGAAAATCACATTTCAGTTGAAAGCCATGCCTTGAAACAACTTTGGACTGTTCTCTTGTGCGGAGAGAACTCTCTCTTCTCTTGTCCTCATTTTTATTCTTTTCTATTTCAGAGCTTTCCCAGTTTTTCTGCTGCATTTTTTTCCATGGCACATAGCTATACTTCGCTTGCTTATGCAATGAGATGCATGTTTTGGGTAACAGAAAAGCCTGAGAGATCGTGAAGCCTTTCCTGGGCCAAAATAACTCCTGACGTTTGAAGACCTCTTTCTGAAGAGAGTAGGGCAGCATTTGAGCAGCTTCACTTTTACTCCCCTAAGCCTTGGGGTTGTGGAATTGGGTCATCTTTTGCTTCTTCCAGGTTATTTATGGTGGAAGATGCTTCTCTTTTTCCTTGCTCATCTAAGGACAAGATACATAGGAGTAGAAGTAGTCAAAGATAAAACTGTGTTAGGTGTCCATGTAGGAACGAGGACCTGCAGTCAGCTTGTGATGGCTTTGTCTTCTGGAATTGCTGGTGGTGGCAGTGACCTCAAACAGCAGTTCAGGGACTTACAAGAACATATGACTACGTTTGTTTCTTTTCTTGGAAATTTTTGGGCTTGTTGCTGTCTGGGTCCACTGAGGCTGGGCCATTTGGATGCACAACACTGGATTTGTGTTCAGTAAAATCTGAGTGAAAGCTGAGAAAAGAAAAATGTGGGTGTACAGACTCTAAAGTGGTGTTTGACCAGTGTGTTAATGGTACAACACTTTTTGTCGTCTGAGTTTCTGAACAGCTTTAAATGTTAAATGTGTGGATTTGGGTTTTCTTCTGTTTGCAACGAATTTGTAGGTGGGTCTTAGTTTGGACTTGATGATCTTGGAGGTCTTTTCCAACCTTAATGATTCTATGAACTAAGCTGAAACTCTAAACAGAGATTACCTGCTGTAAAGAGGCTGAAGAGATTTTTTTTACTAGTTCAAATCTGTCTTGTTACTCCACAGATTGCCAGATGGGGAATGCTGCTCTCAATGGCTTCTGTCAGACAGGCTACAGGCTTAGTCCTGAGATAGAAATGTATTGTCCTTACCATCTTAATTATAATCTTATTCCTTGATTTATTTGGGGTGTATATTTTGCAGCTCCTAACACAATGCTCTTAGGTTTCTTCTGAGCCTGATTGAGTTTTAGTGGCAAATGATGCAGTTTAGATGGAGTGGTCAGTGTGCAGGTTCCCCAGCAGATGTTTACATCTGCCTGGGCTGAAAGCTGACTCTGACATGATTTTCATCCTAGTTTATTTCCTATTTAAGAAAGGAAGAATTTGTGTGTGTGACAAGGAAGCTTTCTCTGGGCTTTTTTGTGTTTTGGTTTGGTTTTTTTTTTTTTTCCTTTTGTGGGACTTGGGTTTTTTTGGCATGTTTTGAGTACTGCAGGTAATTCCTGAGTGGAAGAAGGTATCAGCTATGAAGTATTTCCTGAAAAAAAATTAAAGGTGTTTAATGTCTGACATTTTTGGCTACTGGGAATATTCCAGCAATGCTTCAGCAAATACTTTTGTAATAAGTCTAGTTGTTTTTTTTTTAAATAAATTGATAAAATAGTACTTGTTTTTGGTCAAAACACCCTTCTTATAAAACCTAAAGGTAGTGGTGAGAGCTGAAAAGTTTAAGTGCTTTTGTTACACTGGCAGTATTGACATGGTACTAAATTTCTGTATGTGAAATTGGTGAGGAAGAAACAAACACAAACACTTTCACATATTATTATTCTTGTGATAAAGCATGGTATTTGGGAGGTTTTTTTCTGGTCTTAAAGTGGTGGTTTTCTGTTAC